AGAACGTGGTTAGTTGTATTTCTTGGTGGGCTTTGAAGCTTCAGATATATAATTTTGATGTTGTTCATCACCTAGGGAGTTTTATAACTGATGCAAATGCCCTTCCTCAATCTCCTCTTCCTTTTTCACTCTCTTATCATATTTCTAATGAGCTTATTGTTCAAGTATTTATAGATTTTCTAGATGAGGATCCATCAACAGTTGTTGTACTTGATGTTAAGTGTCCACAAGGAGTAGAGCAAGATTTACCTTCTTTTGATAAGGTTTGTGAGGCTCAAAAGATTGAGCCATAGATTCGAAGGTTTCAAGATGGATTTGAAAATTTTGCATCACTTGCTGATGATTTTCCATTCTAGTATTTACATTCTCAATATTACTGTAGCGCATGTAATCATGGGATGAGATTTGGATATACTGTCACCGTGGATCCTTGGAACCTTGGGGAATAAATGGGGATAAAATAGCCACTAAGGGCTCTCTCATCAAGCAATTGCCCCTTTTCCAGTTGGCTTAAGGGGAGAGAGATAAGGTGCGCTACAGTTGGTATCAGAGGAAATGGCACGGGTTCGATTCCCATTGATTAGTAGCTACTTAAAAGTATAATATACCCTTGAGTAAGGTATATTCCTACCCTTAAATTTGAAATCGTACGTATTGGGCATCCATGCGTACGTCCTTCCTCTTGTGTGGAGTATCCACGGACGAAGGTATCCATCGTGGGACTGCGGTACAGGTGGATGACTAGTTGCCTCACATGGAATAGCTAATCTACACAAATGGAAGGATTGGTAGATTGAGTGCGGAAATGGAGGTGCTGGTTCCCCTTGGCTCAGTAGGGGTTGTTAGTCAATAGTCAATGATGTCAATGTGGTTCCCCTTGGCTCAGTAGGGGTTGTTAGTCAATAGTCAATGAGGACATTGACATCTCTGAAGGGGGGGTGAGTGTAGCGCATGTGATCATGGGATGAGATTTGGATATACTGTCACCGTGGATCCTTAGAACCTTAGGGAATAAATGGGGATAAAATAGCCACTAAGGGCTCTCTCATCAAGCAATTGCCCCTTTTCCAGTTGGCTTAAGGGGAAAGAGATAAGGTGCACTACAATTACTTTGAAGATGGCCTTCTTTATTTTATGGGGACGGATCTTGATGATCATTTACGGTTGGTGGTGCCTTAAATATTTATTCTATGGTATCTTTATATCTACTATGATTCTCTTATTCTAAGCGGGCATATGGGACATTATCGTATGACTGAGAAGCTATACAAGTCTTTCTATTGGCTAGAGATGCGACATAATGTTATCCGGTATGTGCATAGCTGCGTTTGGTGCCAAACTCATAATACTCCCCCTCGTGATGCGAAAGGACGGTTGGAGTTAATTGTAATTCCCTATTCATTTGAGTTGGTGGTGTTTGATTTTATGGGACCTTTTCCACAATCGACTACTAACAATGAGTATGTTATTATTGCTTCTGACTACTTGACTTACTGAGTGGAAGGTGGTGCTCTTGCTAACATCTCTGCAACTGCTATAGGATACTTCTTCCTCAATCAAGTTGTGTTCCAGCATTTTTGTCCAAAGTGAATTCTTTTAGATAATAGTCTTGCATTTATGGTTGAGGTATTTCCCGTTTTGATATCTTGGTGGGATATGCCATACTTTCACAAGTGCTTATCATCCACAGTTAGATTTTTTGGTGGAATAGCTTCTTCAGACTTTCAAATGGATGATTGCAAAGTACGTGAACTTTCAGTATTCAGATTGGGATGGTTAATTATTGTCTCTTTAGTATGCATATATCATAGAGGTGCAAAGTTCTATTAATGTTTCACCATATAAACTCCTACATGGTCATGATCCAATACTACCAACGGAGTTGGGTTTACCTTCGTAATTGCCACGAGTTGCCAATGCTAGATCATGGGATCAGTATTTGACAAACATTCTTCCACTTGTCTGAGTAAAATTTGCCGAACACCTGGGCCGTGTACAAGTGGGACAAAAACAATGCTACAACTCCCATCATCATCCACTTATGGAGTATAAAGTGGATGATTTGGTATCAATCTGTTTTCCCCATCTTATGGTATATGGTTTATTTAAAGGGTTCTTTGCTCAGTGGAAAGGTTTATATTAGATATTACGACAAATTGAACCACAAGTTTATGAGGTTCAGCATGACATCTAGTAGGCCGATCCTCCAGAATTTGTGCATGTGCAACAGCTAAAACACTTTATACAAAGGGATCAAGAACAATTGGCATCACCTACAGATCCACTAATGCCTCCTCCTGATATTCCTACAGATCCTAGCCCATTTATGAGAGAATCATGACAGTCTTCCATCATTTCGAGAGGAGGGGATGATGTGAGGTCCAAGTGTACAACTATAATGCCATATACTAATATTAGTGTAGTGGGATTTTGGTAGCTATTGGATGGATTTCAATCCAGACCACTCACTATTGTATATAAACTAGGGTTTTCAGGCTAATTAATATGCACATTTTTTGTATTCCTTTCCATATTCCATACACTCACAAACCCTTATTTCTATTTTCCTGAGATATTTGATTGTCAAGTGAAGCCATGAAACGGGAAAGGGAGATGATTATCAAGGACCTACACCATCTCAAGAACTACCTAGTTTAGGACTCGTTATAGCTGACTTATGCCTCATTTGGGAGTATTAAGGAGCTCAAGGCCTACTTGAAACAACTACATCCCCTTTGCCCATGCTGCGCTAATTTTGATTACTTCAACAATTATTATGTGATTCAGCCCTATTACAAGTGTTGCGGCGACAAACATCACAAATTCACATACAGTGGCACCATGAGCTCTATGAAAGATTATGATATCAATATAGAATGCCCCAAAAAGAGAACTAAGAAGCAGCAGTAGTAGCACAAGCCAAGCAAGCTTAGTGGTGGCAAGAAAAATATAGTGTTGGTGAGTCAAAGCCCTAGCAACAACCAGTTGTTGCCAGTCAGCAATGAGCTCTAAAGTTTGATTGAGTCTATCATGGAAGATATGGAAGATGGGCATGTGTCCCAGCACATATGTGGCACAGGGGGGGAGGAAGTCTACATGGATTCCAGCAAGAAGGATGAGGATCTCAAGGAATTTGTCAAAGATTTCAAGGTTGATGAGGGGGATTATAATGATCTTTTATGGGGTATGGAGTGGAAGAAAGCAGTGATCCATAATAGCCCCAAGATCCTATACCTAAGCTAGATAGTTTTGCCATGGAGCTAAAGGAGCAAATCGAACTAGTCGATGAGGAAGAACACAACTTTGCCTTAGAATTGGAGGAGGAAATAAAACAAAAAACTGCAGTAGCGAGGGAGCAAGTGATAATGGTTTGGAGGGATGAGGTGAGGAAGGTCAAGTGTAGATGGGGACACTAATTTTCACCTCAAATCATGGCGGTGCACAAAATCTAGTGTTAATTGATTGGAAAAATATAACTTCCAAGTTTTTGTCTATTACACCTTTCCAGTGAAATCATCCTGTAAAGCTTGCTAAACTCTATATTTCTATGGAAGTGAAAACATTGGGTATGGAAAGAAAATGCAAACCTAACAAGAAACAGGTGAGAACGAAGGAGTTGCTAATCAAAGAGGCCATCCAACCAATGCCTCCAACTCTAAAAACTGCCATAAACATAGCTCCAGCCACAAACCCTACAGCTAGTGCTTCCAATTGCTCTCTCCTCCAGCTATTGTGCCTTTCCCTCCAATTGCAAATACAATTATTAATATAGTAGTATATAGTGATGTATGCATGGACATAAATTGAAATGTCAACTATAAAATGGTTGCAACCTAGCCCTATGCTATTGAGTAGGCACCACCTATAGGCTGACTGGGATGCCATGTTAGATATGGCCCTAATAAGAGCCAATGGCAGATCCCCACCTCCTCAAGCACAAGTAATATTGCATAATTGACTAGGCTCCTCTCAAACATTTTATTGAAGACATTCCTAGGCTTTGATTATCATCCACATTGCCTTGCAAAAACACAATGAGCTCCTTCTCTCATGGCATATGCCTTATAATTAGGTTGGGCAAATTTAAAGAATTCCACAAGCATAAACCTTGGAAACAAAGAAGAAATGACTATAGCTTTTTATAGGTAAAAGGAAAACATTCTTAGTTTGTTTTGGGAACCAAATCGTTTTATTGTCTACTCTTTATCTTGATTTTTATTTTTTGCCTACCTCCTAGCAAAGCTCTAAAGATCCAAAGTGCAACCTATTTCCTCTAGAATTCTTGATGGATTGGTATTAGGAGTTGAGGAAGATGAAGAGACTAGAGATATCAAGGTTGCAAACAAAGCATTTTCAAGAAGATATTTTCAAGAAATAATGGTAGACTATTTAGATCCCTTGAATTGGAAAGGGCATTCACGTAGCTCAAATCATTATATAATTTAGATTAGTTAAATCCCAATCCATATTACTATGCCTTAAAATTCAGATGATCAAGCTTCTCTTTACATATAAATTAACACATTCTTTATCACACATTAGAAAAATTTCAATTAAAAGTAATCCCTTTTGGTTAGTGTTTATTCTTTTCTCCCATTTTTGCTTTCACTTCATAGTTGTCATTTTTCTATAGTTTCTTTTATCTAATCTATTCTTTATTGTTATGGCAACAAAGCAAGATAAAGGCAAGGCAAAATCTACCTTTGTTATTATGCTCTCTTGTAACATTTCTTTTAATTAGTTTCCTCTTGTATATATAAAGAAAAAGTGTGGGGTGTGATTTCAAGCTTAATTTCATTCCTATGACCAGTCTTTGTAGATAACTCTTTTGAAGCTTTTAAAAGATATACTAAAGTTAGCATAACAACAATTTAGGTATTGATAAAAATTCTCGTATCGATTCACCCAATTTAACAAACGCCATCTCAGCCATGTAGTTAAATTCGTTAGAAGAAGCTAGGGTTTATTTTGTTGAGGTGAAAACAAAGCTTGTAAGAGCGATGACGGTGGTAAGTGAGTTTAGGGAGGAAGATTGCAAAGAGCTTCTCAGCATTCATATGTTGGGGCAGCGAGGTTTCGAGAAAGGTAGGACGCTGGGGTGTGGCGGCCAGGGGCATGTATTCGTGCTCCACAATCTGGACGGTCACAAGTCATATGCAGCCAAGGCATTTCGATCAGGGAGCGACGCTGAGAGAGAAGTTGGGATCATGGCCAAGCTCCGGGGCTGCCCTGGAGTTGTCTCCTTCAAAGATTTCATCAAGGAGAGAGATGGAGGACAGTGTTTTGGGAGTATTATTATGGAACTATGTGGATCTAGTCTTGCTGATCGCTTGCGCGTTTCCGGGCAGATGAGCGAAGAAGAAGCAGCTCAGATTATCAAGCAGCTGGCAGAGACCCTCAAGGAGATGCATTCGAGAGGCATAGTTCACCGGGATCTCAAGCCGGGCAACATCCTTTTCAAGCTAGACGCGCGCGACAAAGTGGTGATTAGTGACTTTGGTATTGCCACAGACGACCCTGAGGAGATGTCGCAGTACTGTGGCACGGCAAAGTACATGGCACCCGAGGTGGCAGAGAACAAGGATGGGAGCTTCTACACAGCAGCTATCGACGTGTGGGGACTTGGAGCGATTTTATACGAGATGCTGGGAAAGGGAGGATATCAGCCGAGTGAAGCATTTGATCGTGTGCGACAGGGGGCATCCCCGGTTGGTCCTTTCTCGTTTGTAGCGGAGGATCTCCTTGAGAAGATGCTGGCTGTGGATCCGAAACAAAGGCTGACAGTCGATCAGGTTCTACAACACCCATGGATTGTCAAGCTTTGCAGAAGCAGCAGCAGTAAGATCTACAGGACGTGGAGGAGGCCCTGTGGTGCGAAAAGGAGTGCTCCTGGCCTCGACAAGGACTTGGTCGTGAAGAAAGTTCGAGCGGCTTAAAAGTGGCAGCAGTCAGTCCGGTAAGCACACTTGCCATTTCCTATTTCTCCTATTCGCAGTTACTAACTTCATTTGCTTGGGTTCGTTTTTGTATCCTCCGGACATCATCGACATCTCTCGTGTCTCTGTGTGGAAATACGTTTTTGGTGGCTGCCGAGAACAATCATGGAACAAAAACGAGATCCAAGCAAATGCCGAGATAGATGCAAACGTGTTACACACGAAGCTATGCCGCTCTTCTTTAAGAAACAAGGGAAGTCTTCCCTCAAGAAAGAATTAAAAAAGTCCATCCATATATAAATCGAGAATGGCTATTGATCACTGCTAATCTAACAATTTCTTGAAATCATTGTGGAACTTCATATCTTGAGATCAGTCGGGAAGGAAGAGTCCGCTTGATCCATGCTTTTGCATACGACTGGCAGGACACCACATCGCGCTGGGGAATTCGATCGACGGCTGCTCTCGCGAGGAAGCTGGTAGGCCGTGCATGACACGAAGACGTGCTTGCTCGATTGTCCGCGAACGCTTGGATCATCACAAGGCCGGCAGCTTGCGCTTTCTCCAAACGCCCGCTCATGTCCGGGATACCACGAATCAAACACCTTCTTGACCAACGCATCATGGGCGCATCCATCGATGATCGTGTTCCAGGAGACGAAGTTCCTGGCCGGCATCCGGAAGAACATCGCCTGCACTACCTGGAGATTCCCATTCTGGGCATATGCAGTGATCATCACGTTCCAGGTGACGGGATCTCCCTCCCGCATCGCCCAGAACATCGCTCTGGAGTCCTCTTCCTTGCCATCCTTCGCCAGCGCCAGGAGGATTGCAGTGGATTTGAGGAAAGTCCAGCGCGGAAGGAGATCAAAGACGCGCCTTGCGTGCTCAAGATCCCCGATCTTAACAAATGCGCCGATGAGGCAACTCCACGCCACGGAATCTCTGCCGCCGGGGATGCGATCGAAGAGATTGTTGGCGTCCCAGGGCCTGCCGTTGTGCGCGTAGACGGTGAGCATCGTGATCCAGGAGAACCTGCTCTTGCTGTGATCGTCCATGCCGTCCAAGATCTCCCGCGCCTCGCCGACGCTGCCGCATTCGCCATACATGTAGAGCAGCGCATTGCAGAGGAAGATGTCGGTGGAGAGGCCATGGCTCCAGATCTGGGCGTGCACGGGTGCAAGAACGCACTAGCTGGACGAATTCTTGGTCCTCAATCGAGCTCTTGCGATCAATCGGCAGGACAGGCGCTGGCATTGCCGCATTCTTCATTTTTAACGTTTGGCTATGGAGGAAAATTGACGCCCACCGTCGAGGGAGAAAGTAAGCCTTCTGGCAGGTTTCTCCAGGGATTGTGCGAGCATTAGAGCGATGGAATCCAGCCACTGGCGGTGTCGAGCATCTTAAGATGAGGATTTTCGTGTTCTAGAGCAGGGATTAGACCTCTTCTCAAGGAAATCGTAGGAAAACCTCTAGTGTAAGCAATGGTGAGCAGCAATCAAACTCAACGGGCTGTGGCTCGCCCGTTAACTCGATCCAGCCGTTGGCAGCGGTCGGATCGAGTCAGGTTCTGATGGCAGTGATATTAGAAGCCATGAATAAGTTTGTATTTTTTCTTTGATTTCTTCTCTTTTGTTCTTAACTTGTTCTTCCTTAGGTGGCGTTGCCTTTGAGAGAATATCTAGACATTGTTTTGTCACCTGGAGAGCACAACGATCACTTTTATCTGGCACAGGTTATGATTTACTCTTGTTGTTTGTGTTGCTGATATTGACGATTTCACTGCAGGTTCCTATACACGTGGAAGGCTCAACCGAGAAACCTCAGCTCGCTTCTCTGGAATCCGAAATCTCCATGGTATCATATTTTCACACCTGCAAGTTTCTTGAGGACTGTCCAGTTCAGGCTGATAGTCGACATCCAGAGAGGTGGCCTTGCGAGAAATCAGACAATTTCAATTCATGAAGGGCACTTAAGTTGATGGCTTCAAAGAGTTGGACAAGGTAGTCCTCAGCAGCCTATGTTGACAAAGCATGGATTTAAAGGTAGAAACCATGGGTCTTATGTTGATTTAAAACATTGTAATATATTCAAGAAATGATAAGAAGATGTAAATATAGTGGAATATGCTTTTTCTTTATTTGTTATATGAAATTCTTTCTTGGTTCCAATTGGGTATGCTCAAGTGAAAGCTTTTGGACCATGCTGAGGGACTTATCCAGTGGCTGGAGATTGACAAAGGGAAAGACTTCTCAAGCTTGAAGTTTCTCTTCAGCCTTCAGTTCTTTGGTGATGAGGCTGCTCCGATCGAGTTGCAGAGCAGGAAGATGAGTGCAGTAATGGTCTAAACTTTTTTAACATGAACTTCTTTCCAGGACTTCAAATAAACTCTCAGGAGTGTCCAGTTCGTGTAGAAGATACCCTTGGCAACGATCAAATGGAATGTTCCAAAGGATGCATTGGGAAGAGTGAAATTCTCATATATGTAATTACGTTAGCTAGTCTTCTTCCTTTAACTAGTAGACTTCCCAAACACTAAAAGGAGATTAGCTCAACGGCTGAATGGTGTTTGGAATTGTGATCAACAGTTATGTGTTGATGGGAATCAACCATGGTATATTACATAATTTAGAACCCTTATTTCTATTTCTTTGATAGTCAAGTGAAGTCATGAAACAAGAAAGGAAAGTGATCATCAAGGATTTGCACCATTTCAAAGACTACCTAAACTGAGATTTGTTACAGCCAGCTTGTGCCTCATTTTAGAGTGTTAAAGAGCTTAAGGCCTACTTGAAGCAATTGCATCCCCTCTGCCCATGCTGTGGTGAGCAAATAAAGTTTGATTACTTCAACAATCATTATGTGATCCAGCCCTATTACAAGTGCTGTGGCGATAAACATCATAAGTTCACATATAGTGGCACCATAAGGCCCACAAAAGATCGCGATGTCAATATGGAATGCCCCAAAAAGAGAATCAAGAAGCAGCAGCAGCAGCAGCACAAGCCAAATAGGCTTAGTGGTGGCAAGAAAGACATAGTGTTGGTGAGTCAAAGCCCTAGTAGTGACTAGTTGTTGCTAGTCAGCAATGAGCTCTAGAGTTTGATTAAGTCTCTCATAGAAGATATAGAAGATGGGCACATATCCTAGCACACATGTGGCACAAGGGGGGAGGAAATCCACATGGAAGATGAGGATCTCAAGAAATTTATCAAAGAATTAAGGTTGATGAGGGGGATCATGATGATTTTTTGTTGGGTTTCCATGGAGTGGAAGAAAGCAACAATCCACAATAGGCCCAGGATCATATACCCAAGCTGGACAATTTTGCCATGGAGCTAAAGGAGTAAATTGAACTAGTGGACAAAGAAGGATGCAACTTTGCATTAGAATTGGAGGAGGAAATAAAACAAGAAACCATAACAACAAGGGAGCAAGCGATGTTAGTTTGGAGGGATGAGGTGAGGAAAATCAAGTGTAGATAGAGATACTAATTTTCACCTCAAATCATGGGGGTGCATAAAATCTAGTGCTAATTAATTGGCAAAAATGTAACTTCCGATTTTTTGTCTACTACACCTTTCTAGTGAAATCGTCCTATAAAGTTTGCTAAACTCTACAATTTTATGAAGGTGGAAACATTGGGTATGGAAAGAAAATGCAAATTTAACAAGAAATAGGTGATTCAATTTGGAACGAGGAGCTGTTGATTGAGGAGGCTATCCAACCAATGCCTCCAACTCCAACAGCTACCATAAACATAGCTCCAGCCACAAACCCTACAGCCAACACCTCCAATTGCTCTCTCCTCCAACTATCCCTCAAATTGCAAATACCATTATTAATATAGTAGTATATAGTGATGTATGCATGGACAGGCACCACTTATAAGCTGATTGGGATGCCATCTATATATATAAAGCGAAGGCCTACCAGCCATTGGATCCCAGACTGGTTTGTATAGTTATGCAATAAATTTTCCTGATATTAGCCTTGGTCAATGGAAGACCACCACAGCTCCAGTGCTCATTGGCTCTAAGTGAGGCAACACAAACATCTAACACATGTCACTAGTGTGTCCTACCCCATGCCCATTCTTTTTAGCTTGCCCTAGATGCTCTACCACAATTGAGCTAACACTTGCTTGCCGGATCAGTGGCAATCATAGTAATTGCACTTCTTCCTATGGAGATTGGTGTTTAGCATCGGGCAGGTGGCTGCTAATTTGGCCCCCAACCACAACAATTTGGTCTAGAGTTGGAGCCAGAGCCAGCCTTCAATGTGGCTAGAACCATCAAAGAGTTTGCAATCCCTGTTCTTCTATGAGAGAGAATAAGCCCAAGATGAGTTCTTGAACTTGCAAACCCCACCCACCTCTCACGGCTCAATTGTATTGGCTGTTAGATTAATGTTCGTACAACTTCTCTTTTGTTTATAGCTTACGGTGTGTACAGATTATGCTTTCATTGTGTAGTCTTTGAATTTTTTATTTTTTATTTTTTTTCTGGTGTAAGAATGCAAGTTTTGGCTTTTACTTAGAATCTTTGAAAATTTTAAGATAAATGCTTTGATTTTCTTTTAGATTGATGCATCATTTGCACCTACTTCTTGCCTTAAGTTTAAATTTGCATTAAATAGGTTATTTCATCTTATTTATCGAACAAAACTTCCTCCCTAGCAAATATGCTTTAGCTTCACAAAGTATTAAGAGGCATATGTCACCAATTGCTTCCAACTATTGACACTAGCACATACATTCATACTAACAATAGTCTTGGATGTGCTAATGAAGAAATTAATATAGACTTTAAATATGCTAATACAAAAATTATTTCAAATCTTGATGATGCTAATACAAATATAGACCTTGAAAATGCTAATGAAACTAATACAAATACATGCAATCATCACAATTATATTGTCTATAAATTAGCACATCAAAAGAATTATAATGACCATATAACATATATGTCATCCATATGTGTCTTTTGTGGTGCATT